TAGACCAAAAGGATTGAAGCTTTGTCTCTGCAGTTTCATGTTTGTACTTAAGCAGAAGTAATAGAGTACCAGACTGATTGTTTACCAAAGCAACACTCTCATGAAGAAGAAGTTTGTTAAAGCAATTTACAGATATTTCTGGGATTAAAAAATAATAACAAATATTCCTGTGAAAAAACTACAGATTTTTTTTACGTTATGAACATCATCCAGCATGAGGTACAACAGAGCCATTTATTTATGTTTTGTTAAAAAAATGAAGAAAAAAATTCTTCTATTATGAAAACTGTAATAAATATTAAGTTATATTTAATGACTTCCCACCTAAAATGATTTAAACTGAGAAATTATAATGAGCAGATTTCCTCAACATGTATTAAAGACATGTTGTCATTTTAATCAAAGATTTAACAAAACATATGTGCAAATGCACACCCACAGAACTAACACTAAAGAAAGATTGCTGACGCAAACAAAAAGAACATACACCATATGTAGTCATATAACTCTACCATATGAATAATTAATAAATATTATTTAATCATTCATACCTCATACGAATAATATTAACAGGTGTTAGGTATGAGAAATAAATGAGTAATAGTAATGTGCCATAACTTTTTCCTAATATCCCAGCTGTCGGGTAAGTGTAGTGAGGTAAAGAGCGCATTATTTCACTCCAAAATCTGGTGAGTAATATCTGTAAGTATCAACATCTCACAGTGAAATATAAATATTTTAATGGATTTGGAGCACTGACTATTTTTTACACTCGTCACCTCATTTGCCTCTGTCTTAATCTTAAACAGTGGAGTTTTTTTTCAGATGGCTATGGACATGATAACCAATCGGAGAAGAGCAGGTCTCCCAGGTGATGCACATGCAGTTTGCTGATGTGCAATTTCCAGGTTGACTCTAAAAACATAATATACAAATATTAACTTTAAAAATACACATTTCAAATTCAGTAAAAAAAATACTCTAAATATTACACAGGACACATTAAAATGGCAACACTGTGGTTTGAAACTAACACATTATTTACTGTTCAGTGTAACATCACCACTGATCTCATTATTGACACTTCACCTACTACCACATTTCTCCTTTTATTATCAGCATTTAACTTTACTTCATGTAAAATGAATACAACCCAATTCAAGCAAAATGTCTCATAAATGTACAAAATAGTGACATGCTTTATATACATATGAACAACATATGAGTTATTTATGCACTACAAACAACAAAATACCTACAAATTATGACTGAAAGATACTTGAAATCATTCCATTAAGATAAAAGGCTGTTACAAAAAGTATTGATACCCTCTAGACCCTCAATCCTATACAGATTGGAGAGAACTTTACCATCTGAAGTTGCTTTAATAATCTGGTGTCACACACTCATAAAAACATAAGGTTAAAAATGTTGAAGGAGTTTCTCAAAATATGCTACAGAACCAAATGGCTTCATATATATATTACTCTATATAATTTATGAATGTCTCCATAGTGTAGTGGTTTTCAGATTTGATCCTGGGAAGAGAGACACAGAGCACCTGAAAAGCATTCACAGTGGTTTTCTTGCTCCTTGTTGTTATGTTACAAATTCATTTTCACCTCTAAACTCGACAAACACTGCCGCATAATGACAAGGTGAAAAATGTTTGCTCAAAATTCTTGCAAATAAAAAATGAAAAACATAGGCTGTGAATACTTATGTAAATTTTTTTCTTCAATACCTTGAAGCACTTCTGGCAACAATTACAGCCTCAAGTCTTTTTGGATTGCTGTCCACTTGGAAGATCAATCTTCACCTCATTTCAAGGTATCTCTAAACACCGCTGCATTCATATTTCCCTTGACTGTGACTAGTTTCAGTTCCTGCCGCTGAAAACATCCCCACATCATGATGTTGCCCCCACCAGCAGCTTTAATGTAGGGATGGTATGGGCCAGTTGATGATTGGTGGCTGGTTTCCTCCACACATGACCTTCAGGCTAAAGAGTTCAATCTTTGTTCCATCAGACCGGAGAATTTTGTTTCTCATGGTCTGAGAGTTCTTCAGGTCCCTTTTGACAAATTCCAGGTGGACAGTCACTTGCTTTTTACTAAGGAGTGGCTTCTGACTGGTCACTATACCATAAAGGCCTGATTGGTGGAGTACTGCAGAAATGGTTGTCCTTCTGGAAGGTTCTTCTCTCTCTACAGAACGATACTAGAGCTCTCTCAGAGTGACCATTGGGGCCTTGGTCACCTCCCTGACTAAAGCCTTTTTGCCATAATCTCTCAGCTGCCTGAGCTTCCTTTTGATTGTCACGGCACAGGGTGTGAATATTTTTGTACATTTTATATTTTGCTTTTTGATTTTAAATGATTGTTTGTAGAATTTTGAGGTGAAAAATAAATGTAATACATTTTGAAGTAAAACTGTAACATGAATAAAATGTGGAACAACTGCGTAAGCAAGGGTATGTGTAAAAACTGTGGCAACCCCTTGCGAATAAAGGAACAGCTGAAATTCAATTTGTATCTATTACTAAACTATTCTGTGTGACCTTTCATGTGTATCTTTAGATTACACTGGTGTCTAAATCTTTTGCCACAAAACTCACAGTCAAAAGGTTTCTCACCTGTGTGAACTCTGATGTGCGTCTCAAGATGTATCTTTTGGTTAAACCTTTTACCACAAGTGTCACAGCCAAATGGTTTCTCTCCTGTGTGGACTCTCATGTGTATCTTTAGATTCCCCTCTCTGTTAAAGCTGTTACCACAAACCCCACAAGTAAAATGTTTCTCTCCTTTGTGAAGTGCCATGTGTCTCTTCAGATTACACTGATAACTAAATTTTTTACCACAATCGCCACAGACATACGGTTTCTCTTCTGTGTGAACTCTCATGTGTCTCCTAAGATCTCTGTTTTGGTTAAATTTTTGTCCACAATCGTCACAACTAAAAGGTTTCTCTCCTGTGTGCACTCTTATGTGCATGTTAAGATTTCTTTTATAGTTAAATCTTTGTCCACAAATGTGACAGCTAAACGGTTTCTCTTCAGTGTGGGATCTTAAGTGTCTGTTAAGATTTGTCTTGAGGTTAAACCTTTTACCGCATTTATTACAAGAAAATGGTTTCTCTCCACCATGGAGTCTCATGTGTACATACAAACTTCCTTGATATCTAAATCTTTTGCCACACTCACTGCAATCAAATGGTCTTTCTCCTGTGTGGACCCGTGTGTGTATTTTAAGATCTCTCATTTGATTAAATCTTTTACCACAATCGTCACAGCTAACTGATTTCTCTCCTGTGTGGATGGTCATATGAGAATCACAGTTTTGATCCACTCTACAATGTTTCTCATTAACCAAACTGTTGGAAGACCTTTTTTCTGAGTGACATGTCACATGCTTCCGAAGAGACTGCTTGCAGACAAACTGTTTACCACACTCAGAGCAACCTAAAGACTGTTTTGCAATCTTAAATCCCACATCCTTATTTACACTTGACCCTCTGCTGTTGTTTAACCCGCTGTCGTTGTCATCAGTTTCTGGTCCAAAATCTGACAAAGGTTCCTGCCAATCATCGTCCTCACTGACTTCCGTCTCAGAAGACTCTGAAGTCTCTCCATCAGTATTAGATTGTAAATGACAGTTTGCATGTGATTCTGGTGGTCCACTGTCTTCTTCACTGATTTCTGTTTTTATCTGTTCAGCTGAGCTGCTAGCTGGAGGCTCTGTCTCTCTGCTGTTTTCAGTTTGGCTTTGATGAAGCGTTGAGAACTGAGGTTTCTCATCATCATCTTCACTCTTCACATGAACAGCAGTGAATGGGAACCCAGAGATATTGTCCTCCAGCCCACTGGGCTGTTCTCCCTCTTGACTTTTCCAGAGTTCCTCCTGTTCCTCCTTTATGTGAAGAAACTCTGCGTCATGATGGTCCAGATTAGGGCTGCATTCATAGGGAATCTCTTCTTTTATCACCAACAGCTGCTGGACATCTGCAGGAAACACTGAAACACACACTCATAATGAACAATGGCAACTTTGTAATCATGCTGGTATTATTACCTTATGTTATAGAGTTCAATGATTACTGCAAACACACAGTACTGTTTAATTTGATCAAATTAAATAAAACTGCTTGTAGAAACCAATAAAGCAAAAACTATTAAAATGCCAAAATGAAATCCACCAATAACGTAACAATGTTTCCTAAGTAACTATGATTTGAAGGCAACTTGACCACTTAAGGTTTTCCACCAGTGAATTATAAGATTAGCACAGGCCTTATAAATGTTGTGACACAGGTTAATTTTACTCTACTGATGGAGTTTTTATGCAATAGTAATCCTGCTCACTTACATGGTGGATTAAGGTGGATTTAGTGTTGGACTGAAGGAGGAAATTAAGTGTTACAGTTAATTCTGTGAGGTGCCAGAAGCTTTCTTAATAATATGATTACCCTAATATTCAAACTAAAATATTAGTAGTATTATTGCTAAAAATTAACTTGCTGTTTGGTATGTTGTGATATGCAGGCGTATTAGCCTAAGAATGAACACAACATAGTTGTATAGTTGTTGCCTTTCATTTGATGCCATCTAGCTCCCTTTGGCCTACACTCTCACCCACAGTAGAAAATATTTGGGCCGTACTGGCTGCCTTTTATATATTTCCTTAGTCAGGGCTCTAGAGTGCGACCAATTTGGTCGCAAATGCGACCAAATTTTTCAGTGGTGCGACTAAAAAAAA